ACTTCCTCTTGGTTTATGTACAGGTTCCTCATGAGGACAATTAAGTGTTCTGGAATTCCCATTCTTTGCAATGTTATCCATAATTTGGCATGATCCACACAGTGGAATGCTTTTGCATAGTCAATAAAACACAGGTAAACATCTTTCTGATATTCTTTGCTTTCAGCCAAGATCCATCTGACATCAGCAGTGATATCCCTCATTTCACGTCCTCTTCTGAATCCCGCTTGAACTTCTGGCAGTTCCCTGTTGATGTACTGCTGCAACTGCTTTTGAATGATCTTCAGCAAAATTATACTTGTGTGTGATATTAATGATACTGTTCAATAATTTCCACATTCTGTTGGATCACCTTTCTTTGGAATGGGCACCAATATAGATCTCTTCCAGTCAGTTGGCCAGGAAGCTCTCTTCCAAATTTCTTGACATAGATGTGAGTGAGCACTTCCAGTGCTGCATCTGTTTGTTGAAACATCTCACTTGGTATTCTGTCAATTCCTGGAGCCTTGTTTTTCACCATTCCCTTCAGTACAGTTTGGACTTCTTCCTTCAATACCATTGGTTCTTGATAATATCCTAGGAAGAAGGACCTGGTAGTTCACTTCTGAAAATATTAGCCAGTGAAAACCTTATGAATAGCAGCGTGGAACATTGTCTGGTTTAGTGTTGGAAGATAAGCCCCTCAGATTGGAAGGCACTCAAAATACAACTGGGGAAGAGCTGCCTCCTCAAAGTAGAGTCAACCTTAATGACGTTTATGGAGTCAAGCTTTCGGGACTTTCATTTGCTGAGGTGGCATGACTCAAAATGAGAAGAAACAGCTGCTAACATCTATTAATAATTGGAACATGGAATGTACGAAGTATGAATCTAGGAAAATTGTAAGTTGTCAAAAATGAAATGGACTGCATAAAGATCAATATCCTAGGCATTAGTGAGCTGAAATGGACTGGTATTGACCATTTTGAATCAGACAGTCATATATATGGTCTACCTTGCCAGGAATGACAAATTGAAGAGGAATGGCATTGCATTCATCATCAAAAAGAACATTTCAAGATCTGTGCTGAAGTACAACACTGTCAGTGATAGGATAATATCCATATGCCTACAAGGAAGACCAGTTAACACGACTGTTATTTAAGTTTATGCACCGACCACTAATGCCAAAGTTGAGGAAATTGAAGATTCTTACCAACTTCTACAGTCTGATCAAACATGCAGTCACGACACATTGGTAACTATTGGTGGCTGGAATGTGAAGGTTGGAAGCAAAGAAGATGGATTGGTATTCTGGAAAATATGATCTTCATGACAGAAGCGACACCTGAGATCACGCGACAGAATTTGGTAAGACCAACGACTTCTTCATTGCAAATACCTTTTTTCAACAACGTAAACGGTGACTATACACATGGACCTCACCAGATGGAATACGCAGTAATCAAATCCACTACATCTGTGGAAGGTGATGATGGAAAAGTTCAATATCATCAGTCAGAACAAGGCCAGGGGCCGACTGCAGATCCGACC